CCAACGCGCCGGCCCACGTATCGTAAAGTCTGGAAAGTATGCCACGTTCCAGGAAGAAAGCCCCCCTCACTCACCACCCTCCCTCAACCCCTCCGTGCCTCGCGGACCAGCCCCCAGCAAGAACATAAAAAGATGCTCACTTTCCGATTCGCAACTTGTTCAGTCCCATCCGGATATACGGCTGGGACGCTGGCACCCGTGTCTCAGCTCCGTCCTCATCCGTCCAACAAGATGCATCAGCCAGTGCAGACAGTGCACTTAAAATTCCACACCTCCATATTTCAAGTGGAGTACTATACTTGGTTTCACAGTGCAGAAGACAAGGGCAAATTTTGTGCAATTTGTCCGTGGACTTGTTATGATTTATTTAATTAACATTAATGTTTCCGTAAATAATTCGCATTATTTTTTCCGTCAAGTTGGCACTACCGGGAGGCAGCGGGTGTCTGCAGCGCTGGGGTTGCTGTCGCCAGCACCTTGCGTGCGCAACAGAGTGAGACAAATGACCCCGCGAGGGGCCGGTGATAGTGACGTGGACACGCTGTGGGGGGAGAGAGAGAGAAGGAGGGGGGAGAGGAGAGAGTTTCGGCTAACCGGCCAATTCAGCGGCCAATTCTCCCTAAAAATAAACCAGAGTGCGCCGCAGCCGCGACACGGGATGGGCAATTTCCGCGCCGTGGATCGAACGCCCCCAGGATTTCAATTTTCGGTCACCCGTGCAAGCCTTTTGCTAGGGTGGGCGGGGCGGCCTGGGAGAAGGAAGTAATCATTGACGCAATGTCGTGCATCCCGGTGCAGAAGACCGTCGGGTCGCCGACCCACAGTGCGCCAGAAGACCGGTGGAGGCGACCATAATGCTCGACGCGTTTTGAGCTCCAGAGTCGTGAAACGAGGCTCGAACAGCGCCTGTGACCCCACCAACGGATTCCTCGATCGGAGAGCAATCCATTGGTGGGGTCACACGGGCGGTTCGAGTCCCGTTCAGCGACGCTGGAACTCAAAACGCGTCTAGACTTTCGGCCGCCTCCACCGGCCTTCTGGCGCACTGTGGGACGCTCCGGACGGCCGGCGAGGCGGACAGGAGAAAAGGATTTGTCGGGGCGGCCGGCTGCTTTCTGGTGCGTGAAAGAGCGGCCAAACAAAGCCCCACCAAGGCCAAGCGGCGCAGGCCTCGTCCGGCCGTGAATCCAGTTCCGCAGACGGCAGACGGACACCGCTACAAGTTTGCATCGATCGAGCTCCGAGTTGGTCGCAGTTTCCTCACGCCATTAGCGTCCAGGCCGATCCAGGCCGATCCAGGCGGGGCCCTCGGAGGGATGAGGCAGCTCGCCCCGCCGCCCCTCCCCCCTTAAAGTCCGTCCCTCGGTTCATTCACAGGCTACTCAGTAGTTGCTGACGGCAAAAACGGTTCCAGGAACTCCCTGGAATTGCCTATCGAAATTCAAGCGCGGATCCAGGGGGGGGGCGGGGGGGGGGCAAAAGGACAATTGCCCCCCCCCCCCTTGACCCCTAGATAGCCGCCTGAAAGGTAGGCAAAAAGCACCAATTTGCCCCTGTAAGTAGGCAAAAAGTGCTACCAAACACGGTAACTCAAAGCATGTGACGTCACGTTCGTTTGAAAGTGAATTTGCCACGTTCGCTCGAACATGGCATCAAATTCGTTTGAATGTTGATCCGCGTTAAAACGAATGTGACATCGACATTCAAACGAAAACGACGTGACTTTCGTTGGAACAGTGAAACGACCGCAGGCTTTCCAGCGATTCAACTTTCTTTTGAAGGGTGAGCACAGCACGCGGAATGACGCAACGACTTCAAATCACGCTCATCGTGTTTCACGAGAGATGGAAACCTTCAATTTCCATGAAGCTTCTGCTTTGTTTATTTGACTCCCCTTGCAGACTGATTCCCAGAGTCGTGTTGGTCCTGTTGGTCGCTCTGTCTCCCACTGGACGCCCCATGAGTGCGAGAGAGACCGAGCGACGAAAACGGCTCGCGGATACAGTGTGCTGCTCCTTGACCCGTCGACCCAGACAGACGCGCAGTGTGTCATCGACACAAGAAACTGCCGTCCCGGAGGCGCCAGGCTAGGCCAGGCCAGGGCACCGTGGCAGTGATGCTGCACCGGCAGACGCACGATCCAATCAAGAGCCCATTTCCGTTACCGTCACGACCGACATGGGGGCGGGGGGCTAGATTGGCAAACAGGACATGGGACTACCGCTCAGACTACACTAGCTCGTCACAGCGGAGAGCGGACGCAAAAAAAAATGGATACGTTAAAACCTTACTAACAATCGAGAAAGTCTAGGAGGCAAGAAAATAAAGGCATCGTAGTATTGCTTCGTATTACGAAGAAAACGCTCCGCGTTTTGAAGCTGTTCTCCGCAGATTTCAAAATGCCTTCGTTTCCTTTTTTTCTGTGAAAATTGTTCGCCTTTTTTCTGGTGCCCTTGCAGGCACCCTTTCCCCAGGGTATGTGCGGGAGCCCTCGTGCCATGGCCCCCTCCCCAGCCCTCCATCCCCTGCAGACTGAGAGTCGTCACTCTGTCTCTCTCGCACTCATAGGGCGTGTCCCTTACAGGTGCGAGGGAGTTGGAGCGACGGATACGACTCTCGGAATCAGTGAGCACGCCCCACCCTGCCGGGGCCTGCCGGCCAGTCGGTCAGTCCGGTCCCTTCACTTCCCTCAAATAAAGCGCCCCGATAAGGGCCATTAGAGGGGGCAGCCACCGTGGACAGCAAAAAGCTCGATCCGGAAAGCGAGAGAGAGAGAGAGAGAGAGAGAGAGAGAGAGAGAGAGAGAGAGAGAGAGAGAGAGAGAGAGAGAGAGAGAGAGAGAGAGAGAGAGGGGGGGGGGGAAACGAAGCTGGTTTCTTGGCGCCGTCGCTCCGCAGTGGCGCCATCTATGGGGACGCGACCTGCAGCAAAGCCGTGCTGGCGGGGGGTGGGGGAGGGGGAGGGGGAGGCGATGGCAGCGCGCAACAGGTGGTCCGTCCCGCGGGCCGAGGCGCCGAGGCGATCCCTCCGCGCCCACCGCTTATCGTCTTCTTGGGCATTGATACACTCTAAATGTTATGTACAATTGTATACGCGACATCACAGTTTTTTTTTGTGCACACGAAATTTTCGTACAATTTTCGTGCGAAAAACTGCACATTTTTCGCCATTTTTCTACAAAATTGTACAAAATTTTGTACAAATTTGTACGAAAAGTTCGTGTGCCCAAAAAATCTGTGATGTCTCGAACAAAATTTGTACAAAAATATTTGGTGTGTACGTCGTGTGGGACCCAAAAGGCCTTTTTTTTCGCCAGACTACGAAGTGAATACCACGGACGCGTTGGCGGAAAGAAACGCAGCAACGAGAGGGCCAGAAGTGGGGCCAGAAGACCGGAGGAGGCGGTCGAAATCCCCGACGCGTTTTTTGAGCTCCAGAGTCGCTAAATGGGACCCGAACCGAACGTGTGACCCCACCAGTGGATTGCTCTCCGAACGAGGAACCCATCGGTGGGGTCACGCACTCGGTTCGAGTCCTGTAAAGCGATTTTGGAGCTCAAAACGCGCCTTTTGGCCGCCTGCAGTGGCTGCAGTGGCGGCAGTGGCGCCCTCCGCAGGCCGGCGCGCGAACCGCGGCGCGAACCGCCTCCCCCGCAGCCTTGCAGTGCCGGCAGTGGCGGCAGTGCCCGCGGCGAACACGTTCACTGGCGCGCCGACAGAGGGCGCAACAAGTGCCTCGCCCGACGGCCGCCACCGCCACCCGCCGACCGATTTAACCCCAACCGCAGCACGCGCAGCGTAGCGCGGCGCGGCGTGGACCAGCGGACCGTAGTCCCGGCCTTTCTCTCACTGTGGGGTGCCAGGGGTGCCAGCGCCCAGTAGGGCCAGGGCGGGGCGGGGCGGGGCGGGGCGGGGCGGAGGGCCGCGGCCAGTGGACAGGGCCACCGCAATCGGCCACGGCACTGCGTTCCATTCAGCGTCAACAGCGAGGAACCACATCAACCCAAAACGGGGGACAAAAGAGGTGCCGTTGGTGGTTTTGGAAGTAGAGCGTTCGGAGGAGCGCTGAACCACCAATTTCCTACTCAACGCGCCTACCCAGGTCTCCACGAGACGCCGCACTCTAAATGGGTTCGTAATCGGAAGGAAATGGCGCAAGCATAACGTACGCAACCGTGCAGAGTTGGTCACAAAAAAAGTGATAGAATCTCTCACTGAGAAAACCTGAACGCTTTGGTAACAAATCAATCTCCCACGGTACTAGAGGGTTCTACGACCCACCGATCGTGCGCAACGATCGTGCGCATTGACTCGATTAGAGAAAATAGGATCCGACCATCGTGGAAGGAAGGAACCGGAAGCGCCTACACGTCTGGACGTCTGATGGGCCCGCCCCGCCCCGCCGTCTCGCCCGGACCGGGCGGACCGCACACTCGACAGCAGAATTGGCGGAAACTAGCGTGTTTGCCCACCCCTTGCCTTGTCCGCCGACGGAGCGAGGCGTGGCGTTGTGTGGTGCGGTGGCGGGGCGGGGCGGGGCGGGGCGTGGCCCACGTGGTAAAGGAAATTGCCCCCTGCGGGGACGCCACTGCGCCTCAACACAACAGTGCATCACGACCACCTCGGCCTTGCCGACAGATTCCGCGAGTCTTTTCCCTCGCTCCGTCTCTCACGCACCTTTAGCGGACGGCCTACCAGTGCGAGAGAGACAGGCGACGAAGACGACTCTCGGAATCAGTCCGCAGGATAAAAGGGCGGGGTCCTGTTTCCGCCGAATGATTGGGCAGGTGGAAATCCTCCCCCTCCCCCACCCCCGATTTGCCCTCAACACACACCCGACAGCGAGACATCTTGCAGTGCTGTCGGGCCGGAAGGAGGCACAAAGTTCGCCAGACGGGCGCGGATCCAGGCATACCCACCGGCGAAGCCGCCAGAGAGGTAGGTCACAAGTCGCACTTTTCCCCTACAGGTAGGCAACTTTCATCACACACACACACTCACCTCGAGCAGCGCGTGGAGCTGGCGGTCCTCCAGCAGCGGCATCAGCATCTCGCGGTCCTTGTGCGGCGCCTCCTGGAGGCAGTGGATGTCGTCCAGCGAGTCCAGGACCAGGCTCACGGCTGCAAGCGGACAAGCAGAGTCACACGCCGCCCGCAGTATAAACAGTCCACGAAGCATTGGCTTGGCAACCAATAGGAAAAAATCTGTGGAGAAATGTCTCGCAACACGACGCGTCTGGGAGCTTCATTTCCGCCGTCGTGATGAAGCTACTGGCAGACTTTTTGTGGAGTGGGGCTGAGGCTGGCGTCCATCAGGGCGGCCCCCCAGGGGCTCATCGCACAGTGGGCCAGAATACCGGTGGGGGCGGTCGAAATCCCGGACGCGTTTTGAGTTCCACGTTCGCTAAACAGGACTCGAACAGAACGTGTGACCCCACCAATGGATTGCTCTCCGAACGAGGAATCCATTGGTGGGGTCACACGTTCGGTTCGAGTCCCATTAGGCGACTCTGGAGCTCAAAGCCCGCCCGTGATTTTGACCGCCCCCGCTTCGCCGAGGGCCTCGCGCAGGGCCCCGCGCAGGGCCCCGCCCTCCACCGCGGGCCCAACAGACAAAGCCCGCACCGCGTAGCTACACTTCACTCCGGGAACAAACTGTAAGACGGAAGGCTGGAGGAGCTGGATAGGCGTACCTGACATTGTGACCTCGTCCTCGCCGTAGTCGGACAGGGCGTCCGAGTTGTGCTCCGAGTAGAACGAGATCCACTTGGGCGAGGACACGGCGGCCAGCACGGCGCCCTTGAGCTTGCGGCGCGCGTTGAACTTCTTGAGCTCCTCGATGGCCTCCGTGAGGTGCACCTTGCCTTTATCGCGGTCCTTGAGCCACCGGTGCGACAGCACCTCCTGGATGGTGATGCGCTGGTGGTAGTCCACGGCCAGCATGCGTCGCACCAGGTCCTTGGCCGACTCGCTGATGTACTCCCAGCAGGGCCCGTCCAGCTGCAACAGGGGCTAGCCGTCAGGACGACTCCGGGGCACAGTGGACCAGAAGACCGGCGGCGCCGGTGGCGAAAAACTCTAGACGCGTTTTAAGCCACAGGGTCGCTAAACAGGACTCAAACCAAACGTGTGACCCCACCAATGGATTCCTCATCCGGAGAGCAATCCATTGGTGGGGTCACACGTTCGGTTCCTGCCCCATTTGGCGACTCTGGAGCTCAAAACGCGGCCGGGGATTTCGACCGCCTCCACCGGTCTTCTGGCCCACTGTGCGCGGGGGGAGGGGCAGCAGTTCATGCCCCCTATGTGCCCATCCGCCCGCCGCTACCCTACCAATCACAACCAAAACCATCAACTACACTCCGGCACAAACGGATGGTGAAATGCCCTCATTTCCCCCGCAAAGCAGACGCTTCTTTTGCCAGTGTGGTGGACTCACGTTGAGCCTGCCGCGGCAGATGGCTTCATAGAGGCGCTCCCTGGTGCCCAGGAAGGGCAGCGTCCCGGACAGCAGGATGTGCAGCAGGATGCCGGCCGACCACACGTCCACGGGCTTGCCGTAGCGCTGCTCGCGCACCACCTCGGGCGCCATGAAGTGCGGCGTGCCGATGCGCCCTGCGGACGGAGACACTGGTTGTGAAACTGGGGGGGGGGGGGGTTGAGGGTGCCGCCAGCTGCCCAACTTTGGGCGGGGGCCTTAACTTTGGACACATCGCGTAGCGAGCAGAGCAGTCACCACAGGAAAAAAATAGAAAGCACATCAATTGATCGTGAAAGTTGATGCGTAAGTTCATGTTGTAAACCTGGCGAGTTGGCGGGCCTGCACTTTTAACAGTGACGTGTCAAAAGGACTGGCTCAAAGTCAAGATGTTGCAGCTACTTTGTACACTGTAAATCCACACTGCAGCTGGTCACGTGACACAGTGGGCCAGAAGAGCAGCGCAGGCGCCAGAAACCACAGACGCGTTTTGGGCTCCAGTCCACAGTCCGTCGAACCGGACGTGTGACCCCACCAATGGATTCCTCGTTCGGAGAGCAATCCATTAGTGGGGTCACACTTTCGGTTCGAGCCCCATTTAGCGATTCTGGAGCTCAAAACTAGTTTTGACCGCCACCACACCGGTCTTCTGGCCCACTGTGCGTGGTCTGTGCGCGACACCCTTGGCGTCGCCGAAACCGCGAACGCGCTTCACGCTTGACGCTGACGGCGACACGCGTAGCGCGGAGTATCGACAAGGTGTGGTTTTTTTTGTGAGTGACGTGCCTCGTCGATACTCTGCGCCGCGCGGCACGGCGTATTGGCAGCCTTGCCGGCCCGGCCGAGGGCCCTGCCCTGCCCTGCCGGTGTGGCGTCAGGCACGTCCACCGGCCGGCGGCAGAAACTGCCTGCCCGCGCCGCCACCACCCATCGGAAAAAGGGGAGGGGTTGGGGCCTTCCCTCCCCAGCCTCGTCAGCAAGTCGGCGGGCCGACACGCCGGCAGGCCCTACCGCCGGTAGGCTACCGGGCCCAAGGCCTACAACACAACTAAGCTGCAAAGCTGGCTTGCTGGGCGCCCAGTTGTTTGGGTTGGACCGCCACTGTCTACACGGATCGGCGCCGCGCGGCATAGAGCCGCATCGCGGCAGCGTGGAGACCACCCCTCTCACCCCACATTTATTCGTGTCCTTGCACAGTGGGCCAGAAGACCGGTGGAGGCGGTCAAAATCCCGAGCGGGTTTTCACCTCCAGAGCCGCCAAATGGGACTATCGAACCGATCGCGTCACGCCACCAATGGATTCCTCGTTCGGAGAGCAACCCATTGGTGGGGTCACACGCTCAGTTCTATTCCTGTTTGGCGACTCTGGGGCTCAAAACTCGTCTCGAGTTTTGGCCACCTCCACCAGTCTTCCAGCCCACTGTGCCTAGGAGGCATCAAACTTTTAACGCGTTTAAACCCAACCGAATCGGCATCTTTGTGATGGATGCCTTTTCAAGGGCATCGAGGCGACCTGAGTATTTGAGGCCTAAAACTAATGTTTACTTAGCGTAGAGCATTAATCGCTTCTGGCGACACAAATCAGGCGTACAAATCAAATAGTAGGAAATGACACACTTTATAGTCTTTACAGGGACGCTATTGCCATGGGCAAGAAAATTGAGAAAGCCAGAAAGTGGGGAAATATCGCTTGGAGTTGAGCTTAGACCACACTGTACGTACAACTACTGTAAAAAGTAGCAGAACGCGACGCACAACAAGGAAAATTGCGTTTTCAAAAGAAGAGGACTTACCATCACAGTCTGCTTTCAGGTACATCTGTCCCTTCGGACTCAAGCACGGCCTATTCTCCGACATCATATTGTCTGCAACAAAGAAAACAGCGCGCCGTCTCTGTAAACAAGCCGAGCCGAGTTCACCACCCAACGACCCGCACCGCACCCCACGCGAGACACTGTCAAACCAAGAACACCACACTTACCTCCGTTCATCATGTGCCCCTCCTGCAGTTGGATGGCGACGCCGAAGCCTCCCAGTTTGACGGGCGCGGAGTTCTCTTTGGTGGCAAGCAGCACGCAGTGGGGCTTCATGTCCCTGTGGATGATGTCGTTCTCGTGGCAGTAGCGCAGCGACTCAAACACCTGCCGCATGTAGTGCCTGTAACAAGCAGCGCCGTCAGGCGTCGTCGTGCGACGTGTCAGCAGCGCCTCGTAAGACAGCGCCTTGTCAAAGGCAGCGACGCAGCCCTTCGCCTCGGCACACTACATGATGTGCTTAGTCCAGGGCTCTACTTGGCCAAGTTTACACGGTAAAAACGGAACCTGGTTTTCCCAGGAGGCCAATGACGAAGGCATAGGCGATTTCTAAGGAGTTCCTGGGAAAACCAGATTCCGTTTTTACCGTATACGAGAGTGCCGCGCCGCACAGTGGACCAGTATATTAATTACACCAGCGGAGGCAAAAAAAATCGAGACGCGTTTAGAGCTCCAGAGTCGCTGAATAAGGACTCGAACCGAACGTGTGACCCCACCAATGGATTGTAGAGCGAGTCGTTGAGTCCCCATCGCGCGGCGCAAACTTTGAATGGCGGCTTGAGCCACGCGCAGTGACAGCGGAGCCTCGGTGTGCGCCCGTAAGCGACCCATTAGGAACGTAATGGGTATGGAAATGCAAACTTGAAAGATACACAACCGGAAATGCGGGGAAACAAAGAGATGACTGCGGTTCTAAGCACTCTTCGTCGGGGACGGGAAACTTGGTTCAAAGTGTCGGCAAAGCGATGCGTAGCGCGCCTTTCGCCCCCCCCCCACCCTCTTTTCCCCCTCCCGCTCCCCCGACCCCTTGTAACCACAGACTGCTGTATGAGCCCTTCAGGAGACCCCCCATTATCCCGCTAACCCAACGATAAACAAGCCTGGCAACAACATCGAAAGGTCGCGAACTTGGGACTTTCGATACATGGCACGTAAACGCTGCCGCGAACACACAACGTCTCAGAAACCAAACCTTTTTACTAAACATGGCAAGACTTGTGTTTATAATTCATTATTGACTTTCACAGAACGATTCTCGAAGCGTATCGTCAAAGACAGACCTGTTTACGGTCCATATAAAAAGTTTTATCAGGAACGAAAATTGATATTGTATCAATTTAAATTAAAAACTCAACAGTGTCAGAACTTGAAACGCCCCCTTAAACACAGGACAACCAAAAAAAAAAAAACTCACAAACTTTGCAAAAAAGCGTGGAGGAGAGTGTGTCCCCCTCGAGAAGAGTCTGCCCAACGCACATCGGTTTTAGTTCTCGAGATTATACTCACCCAGCTACTGCCTCGCTGTACACGAAGCCCGCCATGGCTCGCCGCACGATCTCGAAGCAGATATCGGACCCGTCCATGCTGCGGGCAAGAAGGGGGGCCAAGTCAGCACGGCAGGGCAGGGCACGGCACACAGTGGGCCAGAAGACCGGTGGAGGCGGCCAAAATTCGAGACGCGATTTCAGCCCCAAAGTCGCTAAAAAGGACTCGAACCGAGCGTGTGACCCCGCCAACGGATTGCTCTCCGAATGAGGAATCCATTGGTGGGATCACACGTTCGGTTCGAATCCCATTGAGCGACTCTGGAGCTGAAAACGCGTCCGGGATTTCGGCCGCCTCCACCGGTCTTCTGGCCCACTGTAGCGCGCCGCGGCATAATGAGAAGGACCGTCGCGGAAATCGAATGAGTTGCAGGGCGGGGCGCGGCGGGGCGGAGTGGGGAGACCGCAACGAGATTGCAGCCATCCCTCCGTCTCCTCGCGATCCTCGATGCCGATCGAGTTAACGGCCCCGTCGGACCGGCCGGCCACCCTCGCCACGCCCCGCCACGCCACGCCCCGCCACCGTGGGCCGGCCGGGCCGCAACAAGTCAGCGCGAACAGATAGAGCACTGGTGAAGCTGAAGCGAGTACACCGAAACTGTTGGCGAGGGAGGAGGGTGAGGCAGTTCGCATAACTTGATTTGGAATTTTCACACCCTCACAGCCATTCACCACCACACCACCGTGTCGATCGCAAATCGATGAGATTATCGAAAAAGAGACTTCGTTCACGCGTCCTTCAGTGGCATTAACAACAGGGGAGTTTGTTACGAACTACCTCACCTCCCCCTCACTTGCGCGCTGTGAACAATGTAATAATACAGAGACATTATTTTCCCGTATTGTGCGTCAGAATTCATAAAATTGTACCCAACTCATGCACAATTTGCACTTTGTCTAAACGTATACAAAAAGTTCTAAAGCATTCAGTATGTTCACTCCAAATCTATTACGCTTGACTTCAGGCACACAGTCTTTCAGCGTGAATGTACACTGGAATCACGCTTGAACGGAGCGCGCAACTGCGCTTCAGTTTTTTTTTTTTTTTTTTGTAATTGATCCGCGTGCGGGTTGGATGGCAGGGTATGTACTCACTATTCGAACACCATGTAGAGCATCCCCTCGGACGAGTACGTCTCCAGCAGCTCCACGATGTGGGGGTGCTTCAGCATGTGGCAGATGGTGGCCTCACGCTTCAGATCTGCAAAACAGGCAAACGGTCCGGCTGGAAATCAAAGTCGCAGGGCGATGCACGGTCTGCCTTGTCGCTCTGTCTCTCTCGCACTCGTGGGGTGCGCCGTAGGGGTGCGAGAGAGATGGAGCGAGGAGTGTGGGCGCACACACTGTGAAAATTTGAGTCGTCACTTGATGACAATTTCAAGGCTAATTTTCCTTACAACAATGTCATCAAAAAAAATTGATGACTTGTTGTCACGCTCATGCAATAAGTATAGGAGCTTTGATGAAAATGTCATCAATTTGTGATGAGATTGTCATAATTCGAAAGTGACGAAAATGTCATCCGCGTTTTTGTCATAAAGTGACGACAAATTTTCACAGTGCAGTGGGCCAGCAGACCGGTGGAGGCGGCCAAAACTCTAGCCTCGTTTTGAGCTTTAGAGTCGCGAAATAGGCCTCTAACCTAACGTGTGACCCCACCAATGGATTGCTCTCCGAACGAGGGGTCCATTGGTGGGGTCACACGTTCGTTTCGAGCCCTGGTTAGCGTCTCTGGAGCTCAAAACGCGGTTCGAGTTTTGGCCGCCTCGACGCCTCCACCGGTCTTCTGGCCCACTGTGGGGCGGCGCGACTGGTCCACCCTCTATCGGCCCTTCCTCTCTCCGCCGTTCCCCTCCCCTCCCGGAGCACCCTTTCACCCCCCCCCCCCCTTTTCCCCTCGCAGCATGCCGGCGGCAGTGGCTGAGAGTGTTGGCTGCATTGTGTTAGACGAGGGCGGCACGCACCACGGAGCGCATTAGAGCAACCCAGCGCGTCACCGCGGCGACACGGCAGGGCACGGCACGGCACGGCGCGCGGCCAATCAGTGCCGACACCGCGCAACACGGCCCGACACGCGGCGGAGGCACCAACACCATTGCAATCAGCGTCATTGCTTTGCGTCTCGAAAACGGCTGCTCAGGTCAGAAAAGTTAGGCAAAAGGAGTACCCCCACCTTCAATTGAATTTCAGATAAGGCCATCCTCGCGCATAACTTTTCCACCTCAAGCCGTCGGCGAGATGCAGAAATAACGTTCATTACACAGGTGTTGTGTTTGCGAGACTTGCTTCGCTGAAGACGTACACTCCAAACCCGTTTGCTGTACACACGTCATTCTGTTGCGATGGCGGCAAAGTCTGTGAGGCCTTTCTATTGGCGGGAAAATCTGGAGTCTGCCTAATAAGCATCCGACAAACCACACCCATTGCTACCAAGCAGTCCTGATTCGAGCTTATTTCGAATGTTTGAGTCCTCCATAAAGTATCCACAGCGTCTTTACCGTCTACTTGGCCGAATCTGGCCCAACCGTGAGCGGCTGACCGTCATCGTCGTCTCTCTCTCTCTCTCCTCTCTCTCTCTCTCTCTCTCTCTCTCTCTCTCTCTCTCTCTCTCTCTCTCTCTCTCTCTCTCTCCTCTCTCTCTCTCTCTCTCTCTCTCTCTCAGCCGGAACTTTTCCTCGCGACCTTAAGACGAAGAGATGATTGCTTCCGTCGAGAAAACAAAAGGACGACTGACAAATAATGCCGCGCTTCACCTCAGAATCCCTTTTTTTCTTTGAACAATAACCGGTATTTTTCATACCATTGTCGCAAGGACAACCTCATCAAGACCACTTTCCTCATGTTTTGACAGCCCGCACGGACACGAATGCATCGAACTCACGTGCGATATTTATGCAGACGGCAGGGTTTCGGAGACGCTCTTCGCGAGAGACGCGGAGACAGCTCCACTGCTTTCCATCCCGGTCCGGCACGATTTATTTACGAGACCGTAAAGCGCCCCCCCCCCTCCCCTTTTCCATACTCCCTCCGCTCCCCGAGGGGAAGGGGGAATAATTGATAACCTGCTGGTCATTCACGGGGATGAATTAGGAAACGCGGAGGAGGCGGCGGACCGGCCACTACACCGGCAGGCCACCCAGGGCGAGCCGTTTTGTTCTCAGCCCCTCACGCCACAACAGTCGCAAAACAAAAGTTTTGACTCCGTCCACAATGCAGGAAAAAACGTCCGTGGTGGGGACAATGTGCTTGGTTGCACCGTGCGTACTTCAGCCGGCACCGTTTTCATAGTAAATAACACGGGTTTTCATGGCATGCTACCTCACCCTCGCGGCTTGAAAACTCTTGCATAGAATATAGGGGCCTCTACCTAACCCAAACCTGCACTGTGAAACCCAGCGTGGTAAAACTCCACACTTGAAAAGTGGAGATGTGCAATTTGCAGTCTCAACCCCTCAAGTTTTTTCGAGTCACCTGCTGCTCAAAAAATTAAAACTACTGTAATGAGAGCGGGTTTATGAAAGTGGGACTATTTAGTCCTTTTACATGGACCCTCAAAACAACAATTTCAATTTCTTTCTCTCTCTCTCTCTCTCTCTCTCTCTCTCTCTCTCTCTCTCTCTCTCTCTCTCTCTCTCTCTCTCTCCCCCCCTCTCACTCCCCCTCTCCAGTGCACACTGAGAATGAAAGAGTCATGATCATGACTAAAATTTTGGGTGAGGAATTCTTTATTGCCCAAATTTGGGTGAGGAATTTTTCCTCGCCCAAATTTGGGTGAGGAAAGTTTCCTCACCCAAATTTGGGTCATAATACTATGGTGCTATATAGGGAGCTGATACACCCTCTCTCTCTTCTCTCAAAATCTCCTGGGTGAGAAAGTGAACCTCGCCCAAAATTGGGTATTGATCATGACTTTTTCATTCTCAGTGCAAGCTTGGACTTGCGCCGTGACCAGAGGCAGCGGGCGCCTGCAGAGCGTGGGGTAGGCCTCCCGGCGGGCACCTGTGTGTTGGAGCGAGACCGCCGGCCTACCCGCGCGGGGCTCCTCTCTCTCGCTCAGACAGTCTCCCTTCTCAATCAAGCCACTCCTTTGTGGCTCGCAATGAAAACTGAGGAGGCTCCACGGACAAGGGGAAAGAAAAAGCACGTCCCGAACTCGGTGCTCGTCGACAAAGAATACTACCCTGGCCAATTTACACAGTAAAACGAAGTAGCAGAATCCGTAACGATTTGATACAGAAACCGCCGGTAAATGATTCTGGTCTGGATTTCGGTATTCACAGAAAGTGCAATGGGCTCGAAAGAAACTGCAAAGAGATTACGGCAGCAGTGCAAGGATTCCGGCGCTCGTGAGTAGAATGATTTTGCCGTTGGCGGATTTGATGCAAAACCACCACGGATCTGTTTATCCGTCGATTTCCGCGATTCGGGGCTCCCAGACCACTACAGATTCTGCCAACCCGATTTACTGTGTAGCGGTCGTGTTGGCCAGACCTCTCGTCCAATCAAGCGACGAGTTTTAAAAGGGGTGCCCGGAAGCGGGCACGGCAGGGTGGCAGGGCGGCCAACTAATGGAGCAAAACTTTTAATGCGGCGAGAGCCTCTCCCGGCCCGGCCCGGCCCGGGGTGTGGTGCACCTGCACTCTGGCGGCGTGGCCGTGGCGTGGCGGCGCTCAGCCCCGATCTCGTTTCCCTAATTGTCACACGACCTCCCCTCCCGACGGCGCAAATCGAGAACACCGAAATAAAACGCAATCCAATGTTGTCGCATTTTCTCGTGCCGTTTTCGTTTCAAGCCAACTTGGCGGCAGTCGCACACCGATCGGCGCGAAGCAAAATGGATCACGCCAGACAGTGGGCACAGTGGACCGGCGCAAGCGGCCGAAACCTCTAGACGCGTTTTGAGCTCCAGATTCGTTACGGGACTCAAACCGAACTTGTGACCCCACCGATGGATTGCTCTCCGAACGAGGAATCCATTGGTGGGGTCAAGCGTTCGGTTCGAGTCTTGTTTATCGACTCTGGAGCTTAAAACGCGACTAGAGTTCGGCCTGAGCCAGTCCTCTGGCGCTTGAAAGTGCGCGAGACGCAGACCGTGTCTCTCACTTTCAGACCAGAAAAGAATGGGGATGGTGCCACCCTGAGGGTTTCGAGTGGTGTTTTGGAGTTGGTTCGACCGAAATGAAACCGCCTCGCTTGTCTGGCTGTGGAGCCGGGTAGTGGGGGAGGGAGAAGTGGGGGGAGCTCTGGGGACTTTGGAGTGGCGGGGCTTAGCCGCCCGGATGAGTGCGCGTGAGTGCGTGACCCTCCAATCGGGGGCCTCCGTGTTGCCGTGAGGACAGCGAGTACATAGGAAAGCAAAAGCGCGAGTGCTGGGTAGGGGAGAGAGAGAGAGAGAGAGGGAGGAGAGAGAGAGAGAGAGAGGAGAGAGAGAGAGAGGAGAGAGAGAGAGAGAGAGAGAGAGAGAAGGGGCGGCGCAGACTGGCGGATCAGCGGATCCGCGGTGCACGCCTAATTGCAGTTTGGAGGGCTCGGCAAACAAGGACTCGGCGGGTTTTCGAGTCCCGTTTCGTCCCGTCGCTTTCCGAATAAAGGAATTGGAAGCGAGCGTGGCGCCTGGCGCCTCACTCAAAGCGCGGCGTTGCAGACATCCCAGCAGACAGATTCCGAGAGTCACGTTTGCGTCGCGCTGTCTCCCCCGCACCCACGGGGCGCCCCCGTTTAGGTTCGAGAGAGACAGGGCGACGAAAACGACTCTCGGAGTCAGTCTGCAGACGCCGGCAGCGCGCGGCACCGCCACAAGGGGGAAGCAGGTGCAGGCGTGCCAACAAGCGGACCGGAGGCGCGGCGGCAGCGCGCTGTGTGTGTGTGTGTGTGTGTGTGTGTGTGGTTTGTTTTGGACTCCGTGTCTGTGTGTGAGCGTCTGTTGGTCTGCGTGTATGTGCCAAGCGATTAGGCAGACAGTTGGGATACTAGAAAGGCTAAGAAAGAGTCGACTGCAATGTCGGAGAAATCAATCTACAGATACTGTAGAAGTACAATACGTCATCAAGCTACTTTTGCCTACAGGGTGTGGTGGTAAGGGAGGGTGGGGCACCATGACCACTGGGGCACCATGACCACCCCCCTCGCTCTCGGGAACTACTTTGCCGACGGCAACCGGTCGACCGGACTTTCGAGAGAATAGAATTCTAACTATTTTCAGCCAGAGCCCTACCTTCTAGCTTCAAGGGTACGACCATAGCACCTCGCCAAAATTTTTGTTACAGCGTTTTGGCTAAATTGGGCGTTTTTCAAATCTGGGATATTTTTTCTCACTCTCACATTTGAGAAGATAGGTTCGATGTCTTAGGTTTTTCTCAAAATGTCGGCTCTTCGGCAAAATATCCAACATCACATTTAATTCTAAGTAGTTGTTTGCTTGCTCGGGGAGCCTTAGAGTCGTAAACTGCACTGTGGGGCACCATGACCACTTTTTAGTGGGGCACCATGACCACACATATTTGAGTGTTTTTACTCATATTTTGGCCTGATAATGATTTATTTTCGTCGAAAATTTGCTTTTTGTTTCTGAAAATGTATAAAGGTTGAATAATTGCTGCAGAATAGATAGTTTTATCACAAATTTGTGATAATTTGTGAATCACCAAGATGATTAAGAATGGTTCTGAAACTGAGACTTGAAATGGTGGTTTCTCTTGCACTAAATGAGCTCCAAACCGCAAAAGTTGGCCGCGAAGGCGATCCGTGGCTACTTTGCACCAAGATGGCTCTGGCATTATGAGAAACAGCATTTAATTCACTTGTTTGCAGTGTAGTAACCGCGATAATTTTCTTAAAATTTACCAAATTGAAATTTGCATACGAATTTGGACTCGTCTTAGCAAGACAAACATAAAATGTTAGCACATGTCATAGCTTTGGATGTGAAATTTGAAAGCCTTAGAGCGTTAACTGTTTTAAACCGTCCATTTCAAGGCATCTTAGAACGTTTGATACTTCGAAGGTTTTTACAGTGTTTTTTAGTTTAGTTGACTGGCCTGATGGTAATGACAGCGATATAAACAATTTCAATGAGAATACTGGTAGAAAGTACACTTTTTTGGGCCAAAAAATTACTATGGTCATGGTGCCCCACGGGGTGGTCATGGTGCCCCACCTATGGGGCACCATGACCACTTTGCGTTTTATTTTCCAAAGTGTTCTGTGAGCCTGCCGTGCATTGCAGACAAGTTCCAATGGGTGGAAGAGGTCCTTGGAGGTCCAAAGAATCCCCTCATGCTAGAAACTTAACTGTTCGAACCACACGGTGGAGTAGAGGGAGGCACAAAAAAAAAGTGGTCATGGTGCCCCACCCTCCCTTATACACGCGGCTACGAAGGGAACCACACCAACTGTCCCAAGAGGCGGCGTTTTTGCAAGAGTGCTTGGGGCACTCGGGGGTAAAATGTACAAAACGCATAAAATATAATTAAGAAAAAGGTTACTCCTGACTTGTTGCTTATTTTACTTCCATTGCTAATCTATAGGGACGACAATGCCAATACGGGGATTGTTTGTTCACTTCGTTAAGACATCTAAGACACTGAAACTCCGTACTATTCAGCGATTTTGCTAACGCAGATAGCAAGAGAACTTTCATTCAGAACACTGTTTCCGGCTGTCTGAATTCAACCGCAGAGCAAGCTTCTTTCTTGCGACACTTGGGACGTATTGGGCTTCATAGTAGATTGAAAGCCGTTCGCTCCAGTCACGCGCACCGGTCAATCAATGCGCCCTGAAATTCGATTTCTCAGCGAGGCACTAAAACACCCCGACCGCACCACGACGTCAAGGCAACCCTGCCGGAGCTGGTTCCAGAATGCAGTTGTACAACGAGGAAATACGGTTAAATCTGCCTCAAAAAATAATTTGTGAAAACTCAAACAGATGTTTTTGTTGTTTTTCTGTGCGCAGAAAACGGGGTTGGCGCACACGCCGCAGAAGGCACAGAACAGAAATAGCCAGAGTCGTACTTGCCCCCCCCCCCTTTCCGCCCGCCACTCCGGAAGGGCAATAATTGGGTTTTGGAATTGGCTGCGAGTTGCAACGAGTTTTGTCGTCCGGAATAAACTCAATGTTCGTCACCGTGTATCATGGGAGAATCTTTTCGACTGGGCTGTCAAATCAATGGGAGTCATGTTTTAAAAGCCTTGGGGCATTGTCAAATGAAACCTCGGGCATTTACAAAGGTTCCTCTAGAAAAAAATGATGCCGAAAGAACCCTGGTAAATCTACGAAGATTCTTGGTACTTCAAAAAATTATTTTTTCGTAAATCCACAAGCACTTATCAAAAACTCACGAAGATTCTTCGTAAGTAATTCGTTCGGCAACATTTTTCTAGACAAACCTTCGTAAATTCCAAATTTAAATTTCTTACAGTCGGTAGCGGTGGGGATGATCAAAATACAAAGGTCTGTTTTAGCAAAGCGGTTAAGATTATGCAAATCGCGAATCAAACTACAATAGGGCTTTTTAACCTACTCTATAAGTGTGTCAGTGTGTCAATCAAACAGAACAACGCAACCAACCTTGTACAGCTACAGCTCTAAACCTTGTTATTTAAACCACCAACGGTTTTAGCATTAGTTTGATGTCGAGGCAGCGGACTAATCAAAAGGCAAAACATACATACTGAACCGCCCCTTACTTGTAATTTCTTCTGGACCTGAAATAACACATTCCATTAGAGCTTAGAACATGGTCCCGATCAATAACTGAGTCTCAGGCATGGGAGGTCGAGGCCAGACGAGACGATGCGTCTCAATTATTCCCTCCAACCGAGACTCCAGGTCGTGCAGTCGTTGGCTACATAAAACATGGACTAGGCGCGAGGTGGCTGAGTCGTCGATAGTCGGGGTCGACACTGTGAGGCCAAGGGTGGAGAACGCCACTCTTGCAATGCGGAGCAGTGTACTTTGCAGTCCCCACACTTCACTGATAATCCAAACGCCATGAGAATAGCGCCAAATGGTGCAAAGACGTTTTCATTGCACCAATTGGTGCAATGCTTTTGCATTGCACGTGAAGTGCAATGCCTTCCCATGCATTAGCATAGGGCATTTTCGGGACGCATTGCACGTAAGGTGCAATATGGCTATGGCATTGCACGTATGGTGCAATATCTCGATGCATTGCACCACACGTGCTTTACTCATAGCGTTTGGAATCTCAGTGTTGCAAGTGCAGAGTTTGCAGTCTCAACACTTTGAGTGTGACGTTCTCCACGTTTGCACCATACCAAGAGCGATAGGGGCACTGTGAGCTCCTCCACATTTCAAGTGACTGCAAACTTCACACGTCCGAAAGTGGAGAACCACTCCACACCGGGAAGAGAGTTCTCCACACTTGGTTTCACTGTGGATCGGAGAAACGGGTGGACGACGGTGCCACTCACCCGCAGTGCTGAGGCCCGGCGAGGACGTGAACTTGGCCACGTCCACGATCTTGACGGCGAACTGTTGGCCCGTGGTGCGGTGCAGGCATCTCCGGACCACACTGAAGGGACCCCTGCGAGCAAAGAGAAGCACAGAGTAAGCACAGAGTTTTCAAATTTTTCGCCAGCAATCCAAGGGCACTGTGAAAAGAAAAGTCAGAGAACTGCTATCACGCTACACTCTTAAACGTCTTGCAAAAATAAAATTTAGCTATCTTTCAGTGAATTTGGTACAAGTGCAAAGAAGCGAGATTTCTGCGCAATACGATTTTGTTGTTTTAGGATTTTCTTTGTAGGATGCAAACAAAATCATCCGTTATACGCATGAAAACTACGTTTGTAATTATGCTTGCGCCATTTCCTTCGTATCATGGAAAATTTCCTCGTTAGACACAGAGTGTGTAAGAAATCAGCAAGAAAATTGTCATCGGAAAACTACTGACAGTTGGAATAGAGCAGCAACACTACTCAAAACCACCATCGTGAATGTCAGGCGCCGTTCGGGGGGTCGTAATGAGAGATTATCCCCGCCTTGGCCTCTCGACGGGTCGCCTGGACGGTAGGCAAACGGCCCCCTCCTTAGAAAAATCCCGGACCCGCGCCTGTTGTGTGGAGAGCGGAAAAAGTCGATGGCCGTCGCACCGTCTCGCCGGCTAGACTCGAGAATCCCTCGCGGCCCGGCAGAGAGCACTCCGAGACTCCGTGGCGTCGGCCCGCGCATCATCCAATAGTCCCCTCAAAGTATCGAAAAGGCTTGGAGTCTTTTCTCGACAGTGGGGCGGCGGCAGACAGGTGGACCAGGCATAGCCTTGGCATACGCCGTCCCACCCGGATCACGGCCGCGGAGGATTCCCACCAAGAGTGTCCTCGGGCGGGGCTCAGCGCCGTGCCTCCAGGATTTTGTTCCGAAAGGAAAGGAAGAAAAGAGGGTAAACTTTTGTTTCAAAACGTGGACTTTAGTCAACTTTGGTGACAGTTTTTTTAAGAAACGATATTACAACTTTAAATTAAAATACCACAAGACTCGTTACAGCAGTTCTTTCAGGTTGTTCCAGGGAAGGGGAACCACTCTACAAATTCAAAAGCGTACATTGTATGCTCTACTATGGCATGCCTGCAAGCACGCTCTAGCTAGCGCATGCCTGTCAAGCATGCCCTTACTAGAGCGTGCTTGCAGGCATGCTCCAGGTAGAGCGTACACACTAAATGTCATGGGACTTTTTTTGTCCCACGGTTTATGCAATTTTAAGCACATCCGACGCTGATACAATTTTGTTCCCGTCTGGTGACACATTTTGTCCGGCGCCAGCTGCAACTTGTACTTTCACTTGACAATTTGTCCCGCCTGGCGGACACAAAATTGCATCACCACCGGATGTGCTTAAAATTGCATAAACCGTGGGACAAAAAAAGTCCCATGACATTTAGTGTGTACAATGTACGCTTTCGGATTTGTAGAGCAGGCACAACACCAGGAAAAGAGCTCAGGCAATTATAGGATCCGCGGAACGGACCCCATTGTTCCATTCAGGCAAGCGGCTTCAGGCGATACGGGGCTCCAGGCAGGAGGGGGTTCCAGGAAAGAGGAGGCTCCAGGCAGGAGAGGGTTCCAGGTAACAGGAGATTCCAGGCGAGGGGAGTTCCACGCACGAAGGGTTTCCAGGCAAGGGATCCAGGCACGGTGCCCTTGATGCTCCACTCCACTGGAACGCGGCGACGCTTATCGCGCCGACGACACGAAAGCCTCTCCCGCAGATTGCCATCCGGGAAATGAGGCCACCGAGGTAGGGAACATCAAGTGACGATGAAATCATTTTTTTTCGGACATTCTCGTTTAAAGTTATGCATCCGTGCAAAGAACCCAAAAATTTGGCGATCACAAAGGCCTTTTTTACTTTTTATTGAAAAAAAGATTCCTAGTATGAGCCATTTTTTTGCCAAAAACTTGCAGGAAAATAAAAGTTTTTTGGGCACTGCAAACTGCAAATACAGGCGTTGTTGTGCACCACGGCAGCCTGGCCGGGCACCGCCGACCGACGACACAGACTCGGACCCGCGGCGCATGTAAAGCACCATGTCGGTGCACTGGTGCTGTCAGCGACACACACACACACACACACACACACACACACACACACACACACACACACACACACACCTCGCCACAATTCACGCTAAATGAGGAAACGCGGCGGTGCTGCATCGGTGTGTTGCACACACTGACTGCGCGAACGAGTGTAGGCGGATGTGGTGTCCGGGTGGGCAAACGGCCGAGAAAAAGTTCAGAAACAGAGTAAAGGTTAAAAAAAACAACCAAATTGCATCGGTGTGTTGCAAACACTGACTGCGCGAACGAGTGTAGGCGGATGTGGTGTCCGGGTGGGCAAACGGCCGAGAAAAAGTTCAGAAACAGAGTAAAGGTTAAACAAGAAGTAAAGAAAAAGAGTTTAAAGGAATGGTGCGAAATATCAATGAATTGATATTAAATAAATGACTCGTTCTTTACACATTTGTTTTGTGAATAAAGGATGTCTAGTGGTTAACACAAGTGGCCAGGTAGTTGAATAATTGTTAAGCTCGAAATGAAAGTACGTTCAACATCTACCGCCATTACAGTAGTTCGTTTGAAATCCGCGTGGTAGCGCCACGGGTCGCCGATGTTAGCGGCAGGCCGTGCAAAGGAAGGTTGAAAAACTGCAGATATTTTAAATGTTTGTTTGCTAAGAGAGATAATCCTCAAATGAAAAATGTTAAACAAAGCACAGGGAAGTGGATTTGTGCTATGGCACATGCAAATTCGATAAGAATCACGAAACAACGAAGTGTTATAACCTCTCATTACTAGACACCAGCCAGTTTTAATAAACATTTTCAATCTTCATTTGCTCAAAAACTTTCATAATGAAATGAAAAATACTTCATTTACGCCTTAAAGATGAGGCTTTGATCTTTCAAATGAGTACATTACATATGGTTTTCCTTGTGTGCATAGAGAGTTGAATCATGTAGCTAACAAAAACTGATTTTGAGCACAATACTCGTTCTCTTCACATTAACCTAAATTTTGAAATTAGGGTGTAAAGAACGAGTAAAAAACAACCAAATTCCTTTGAAGGGTTTCAAGCCGTGCGTGGCCAGAACTGGGACGGTCCTCTCTGCACAGAGGCAGCGCCGTCGCAGCCGATACAGGATAGAGCCACTCAGGGCGTCTTCGAGAGCCTCGACCGATCATCCACTCTTTCGCAATCGCCGTCAAGCTGCGCCAAGCCCGGCCCCGGGCAGTGCCTCCGGCAGTGCGCCGCACAGCTGGCTCCGGACTCAGGCCGCGTTCTGAGCCTAGGCCTATTCCCCCAATAGGCCGAGCGGTGGCTCACCGGCAAAACTGAAGCGGGCACTGTCTGACAATGCAAAAGTTGACACTTTCATAGATTCTTCTCTTACTTTTTTACTTACCAAGAGTGACCATGGGAAGGGAACGTGCCTTTTAACGAAAAATCAGAAAGATCGGACGACGCCATGGCCAGGGGCGGGGGGTGGCTTTTCTTAAATAAATCTGCTCCCTCGCTGGCGCGCTGGCGCAAGCGCTTGGCCTGAAAGAGCTCGGACCAAGGCTCGGCGGGCAAAGGCGGCGTGGCGGCCCCCTCCCGGCCCCGGTCGCTTGCCGCCAGACTGCACAGCCCGCTGCTTCGCTGACGTCAGACTGGCCCGGCCCCCTTCAAGTGGCGTGCACCCTGCAGCGCCATTCATGCCGGCGCTCTGTCTCCCTCGCACCCTGACGGCACGCCGCATGAGTGCGAGCCAGACGGAGCGAGTTCACTGAATTCGCCCGCTCCACTGGTACCGCCGCCCGAGGCTTTGGACTTGCTTCCAATCCCAAGCGAGTCGCCCGCTCGGGCAGAGGTCAGATGCCATCAAAAGTTGGGAGAGAGGGGGGGGGGGGAATTCGGGAAGACGGTAGCCCGAGGAGTCTGGGTCTGGCGGTCAAGAAGCGTCAAGAACACCCCCCCTCCCCCTTTCCCCCGACCGCAGCTGGAAATGAACGTAGTCAGCACATGCCACACCCAACAGAACAACGTGTTTTCAACTTTTTTCACTGAGCAAACTACTTTCAATGTCTTACGAAGAAAAATATCCCGTCATACCTACGAAGGAAATGGCAGAAGCTTATGATACGCAGTTAGTTCTTCTTTGTATTTCGAAGGCTTTTCTCTGACTTTTTCATTTTTTTCTTTTCAATCGACTGTCACAAAGCTGAAATCCCATTGCAAGACAGGGCGTCCAGCGTACACTCACTCCCACTCAATTAAGATTTTAGTTGAAAAACCGCCCGTATGCAGGCAACTTGTGAGAAAAAGCGCCTGTACACTGTGAAAATTTGAGCGTCGCCACTTGAAAGTCATCACTTGAGAGTGATGAAAATATCATCCACGTTTTTGTCATAAAGTGACAACAAATTTTCACAGTGTATGTAGGCAGAAACCTGGCTGAATTGAGTCAGTCAATACACGCACACCGAAATGATGTGCATTTCAGTCAGTGGCAGACTCCTCGGTAGTCATCTACTGGCAACTGGCCTCCACTGGCCTCCACTGGCACGCGGGGCCGCTGCAAACTACAGCGCAGCGAGCCAAACCGGGCAAGCCCCAGTAATCGGATTTGGGATCCGCGGGACGCGCGGCTAATGAGGCTGGGGCGATATGTATGTGGGGCGGGGCGGGTCGTGGCGGGGCGGGGGCGGGGCCGGGCCGAGCCGGAAAGGACGACAACCATCTGCAATTAAAATTGGATGAACACGTTGTCGGGTGGGCCACTGAGACCGGGCCGGCATGCACGCGCTGCGAGCCTGAAGCCCGGAGCCGGCGGTCTCCCTCGCGCCCCACTGGGACGCCGCATGGCTATGTGGGTGCGAGGGTGACAGAACGAGGAAACCCTCCCGGAACGGAGTGCCGCCACGCTGCCCCTTTATGTCTTGATGAGGCGCTCCGTGATGCGCGGCGTCGCCTCGCTCACGGCACGGCGTGGCACGGCACGGCAGGGCGCAGCACGGCACGGCGCAGCACGGTACGGCACGGCG